CTGTATTCCATAATTGTGGGGAAAAATGAGGTATCTTTCCTTGGAACTCGGTGTTGGGCATCTCCTTGTGGCACTGCAGTATCTGCATGCTAGTCACTGGTCCTGAGCCATTGCTACGAAGAATCATTACTATAGAAACTTACCTGGAACAGGAGGCAAGGGTGCAGAGTGTGATTTCAGAGATGTGTAATTATTTGGTTAGTGAAACTACATGTGAAGAATAGTGAATTGTTTGAGGGCCTGCATGCGTGCTGAGATTCTGGTTACGGTCATAACAGTGTTGATTATGGGTTGATCATGGCTGAATTCCTCTTGCATTAACTAAAATGGACTTTAAAGGGTTGGAATTATTTGTTGTACAGAGTAAAATGCTTTGTGGATATAGAGTGCAAGTTGAACAACTCAACTGGACACATGCGGTGTAGGTGAGCCCTCGATCCTGCTTGTCTGAGAAATCTGTAGCAATCAGAGGTGTTTTCCCAAGAAAAGCCCCGAACGGGCAATCTTTGTGGCTTCCCAGAAGATGAGTTGTCCAAAGCCATTTGTATTTGATTTAAGAATAGAAGTTAGAGCTCTACCTTTAGGAGCCTGTGGTGAGGTAACCTCAGGTGGCCACCAGATCTTCATTGTAGCTTCATTCCTAAGACAGTGAGAAGTATAGGTAGGTGTTGCCTCCAGATTGGGCTGTTGTATTTTGTTTCTTCATCTTCAGTGCAGAAAACTGCAGTAGCTATCTAGGAAAACTCAAGTAGCAAGTGAGGGTCAGGGGGATTAAGTAGTTCTCCTGCATGCAATACAGTCCATACTTCATCTGAAAATGTATTAAAGGGTTATGTAAGTCATATGTAAGTTAAGTCACTTCAATATCAGACTTACCTATTGTGTCTTTCACATTATTTCATTAACACAGTCTTTTACAGCCAGTCTACAACATAACACACTTTGATATTATGGCTGCCTGAACAGTCAACATCTCTAATAATGTCCATTCTGGGTCTGTATTTTTCAGTCCTGTAATGTGCTTTTGTAACTTCTAAGTGACTTGTTCTGTGGGGCTCAGTAAATGGGATTGAAGAAGAAAAAAACTGATTTTTTAATCAAGGATGCCTTTAGGGAGAAAAACTTTTCAGAGCTCTTGCATGGATTAATAGTATTTGGCCCTTTATTTTCTGAATTTTGAGTAATCCTAAATAGTCAGGCTAAGAAATTTAAAACCAATATTCCTTTCCAGTTACCATCTAGTTTTCTATTAACACATCCCCTTTAAAGCTTGCTCTTACCTTGTAACCACCTTAAAAGCTATCCCTTTGTTTTGAGTAGCTCAGTGAAAGAATGAGATTTGTTTAGGAACAGAGAGCACTGAAACATGCCAGTTGTTTTAAAACGTTTTTATTGTTGTTCATTTAACTGATTTGGGACTGAAAGTCTCATTTAGCCCTGTATTTGTAGTTGGTGTTAAAGTGAACTTTACCAAGATTGGCAACATATCTGTGCAGGCACTCTTTGGTTTGAAGGCAGCTAAGCTCACCCTTTTTTGAAAGCAGCTTTCACAACTTGTTTTCTCTTACATCGGTTGAGTCTAATGCTGTTGGTGCTTTCTTGCTTTTTTATTTTGGGAGCAAGAGACTTAGCATTTCCTCATGTTGCTCCCCAGCCAGCAGTTCCAAAGAGTTGTTGTGTTGAGCAGTTGTTTTGGAAACCAAGTAATGGAAGTGGTGGCTTAACTTGACAACCTCAGCTTCACGTATAGTGTATCTCCACCAGAACATACCTGCTGGCTGGTTCATCTTAGGCATTTCCTTCTAAATGTTCCCCTCAAGAAATGGCCTTGGGCTTCTCTTATGTGGTAGAAGTTTAATAGTTGCGGTTGCCCTTATAGTGGGATGTTTTTAACATGCATTGATGTTGAGTTTTGCTGTATGAAACTCAGAGCTTTGGTTGGCTGTGCAGCTTTATGTTAACAGCAATGTGGTTTTCTTAACACTATTCCTGGAAATACGGTGAAACACACTCAGGTGGCCTTATGTACAGTGGTATAAACCGATCTCTGCCATGATTGCACAGCATCTTGTTCATGTCTCTGAGTTTTCAGTTCTGTCTGAAGTTACAGTGAAGAGGTATCTGGAAGCTGCTCCTTCTGCTAACTTGTGTTTCTTCATTCCTGGGTTGGATGCTAAACACAGCTACAGCTTAGAAAATTTGATTCAGAAAAGGCTGCGTTTCCTTGGTTGGTGGTGCTGGGAGAGCAAAAATTTACAGCTGAGGCATTTCAGGTTTGAGCAGCAAGTGGAATTTTAATATAGAAGGCCTCTGTTTTTCTGTGGCATGTACTGCTGCTGTGCCTATGTAGAGACTCTTCTGGGTGGTGGCTGCTTGAGCTTTGCTGAGTGACAGCAGGTGCTCTTTCTGGATGTACAGTTCCTGGAGCTCCTGTTCCAGGAGCAGGGAGATCACTGGGAAGAAAGGGGTACAGATCTCAATGATGCCCCTTAAAGGTGTAAAGCTACAGTGTGATTCTCTCTGCATAGCTTTGGAGGAAGCTAAGCTGGGTTTCAGTTGTTAGTTCCTTCCCCTCCAGCCTTCCTATAGGATTGCAGCTGAAGGAAGGCGCGCAGGGGACAAAGGGTCAAAATAGCTGATTTTATTTTAACCGCTTTCTCTGGCAGTCAAGAAAAAGAAATAACTTTCCAATGGATGTTTTGGGTAGGACAGGCAGAATTTCAGAAGTCAGAAGTCTCTACTTATTGTATAAAGGGCTGTTAATACGTGGTGACACACCTGTGTCCTCCAGCCAACTTGTAAGAACGAATCCCTGTCACCAGTAACTGGTCACTTAGGTTTTTTTATTTGTTATCTGAAAACAGGAACAGCCTTGTAGCCCTGAAGGGATTGTGCTTTGCTGTCAAAGCACACAGGTGGTGAGAAAGTCTTTTCTGCTCTCAGAAACAGCTTCAGTCAAACTATCAAAACTGTGTATCCTGTAAACACTGCTTTCTTGGAAATGCTGCCTGAAAGAGGATACCTTTCATGTTACAAAGATGTCTGTTGCTGTTCAGTAACTACAGTTGGTGTTGATATGGTGAGAGATTACAGATGTCTTTTCTGCTTTTAAATGCTGTGCTGAGAGTTGTTAGCTGAAACTTCACTGTTCCAGCTGTTAAGAAGTTTTTTCCCCGTTTTCCTATGGAGTTGCAATGTAGTGACTGACTGCAAAGACCTGATCTGTTTTCACATTTATTTTGGCAAAAATTGCTTTCATAGAAAATGCAAGAACAGCTCCTGATAAGTGATATTTTTTTTCTTTTTTTTGAGTGAAGAATGTGTATTCTTGCAGTTGTCTTCAATTCCTTCTGATGATAGCCTCTTGATAACTGCATGAGTGTGTTTACATGACCTTTCTGTTGAGAACCTCAAGGATACCATCACCTGCTGTTACTTCATTTCACACATGTGCAGCTGTATGTGGTGTATGAAAAACTTCAGGCATTGGTTTTGATTGCTGTGGAACCTTTCCTTCTGGCAGAAGACACCTCTGTGTCTCTTCTTGGAAGCTGCACCATTAACTTCATTGTTGGGTCATTGCTTTTGTTTCAAGGCAAAAAGAGAGTACTAAATGATTGAGGGTATTTTTAGGCTGTGAAAAAGTATAAGTAAATTGCAGCAACTAGAAGTGAAAAATAAATACCCTTCTCTACAGCTTTCAAACTGTTTCGGACAATTCCCACGTCAGTTTACTGTCACTTCCTTACATGAGTTTGTAACTACCCCAAACTGTTTCATGCTTGAAGTGATGTTGTGTGGCTCCTCATTATACAAATCTGTAGCTATGACAGTTGTTTCCAATTTACTTTCTGCTTTTTTTGTACTAGCATGAGTCATTTCCAGTATTAAACCTACAAAAGCAGTACCATAATATTGGTTTTGTTGGTTTTGGAGTTCTAATTTTTCTGGCTGTCAGGAGATGTTTGCTGCCATGAAAAGCCTACCACCATATTAAAAATTCTGCAAAATTGATCAAATATGGGAAATTGATGTTTGTTCCAAGTGGAACAGGTTCTTGCCATAACTTATTTGGAAGGAAACAGGAATCATAGAATCATAGAATTGTTAAAGTTAGAAGGGACCTTAAAGGTAATCAGGTTCCAGCCTCCCTGCCATGATCAGGGATACCTCACACCAGACCAGGCTTCCCTAAGCCTCATCCAGCCTGGCCTTGAATACTTCCAAGAAGGGGGCTTCCAGGTGTTCTTTGATTAAATTAAAAGATCTATCAGTACTTAGATATAATTACAGTGATGGAGATATACATTTAGATATATTTTTATATACTTAGATATAAATTCAGTGATGGAGGAGAAAACTGTGTAGTCAGATGGAGTAACAGTATTTTCTGGATATGCAACTATTGTGTGCATCTGCCCCATCTAGTAACTGCTGCTTGAGAAAGAAAGGAATCGCCCCAGACGCTGCTCTTGCAGTCTCAGTTTGTGTGTGCTAGATAAATGGCAATATGTTAATGTTACAGAATTTTATACCAAGTTTTGTGTTGTCTTGCAATTTTCTCTTACGCTTTTAGATGTGAAGGATGACAAGCTATTTCTAAACTTGTGGTTGTAGCTTGATTTTATTTTAAAAAAAACCAACACAACAAAACAAAAAAACCAAAAATCTCATCGAGTTTGTGGCTTTTGCTGGTGTGTTCATTTGAACTCGAGACAGAAGCAGTATGTTGGGCTGTACTGTAGAGCAATATTTTTGACAACTTTCAGACTAACCAGGTAGTAAAAAGACTGTTCCATTGATGAAGGCTTGTTTTACACTGGGAAATATCCTAACTATTTAGAGAAGATCTGAGATTCTTTAGGAATTGGATAACTTGTAAGAAAGTTTAATGCAGGTCTCCAAAAATGTTGTGTTAGTCTTATTTACACACTGGCATTCTCCTATATCTTCCCCCTTTCTTTTATGCAAAAGGCCTTTGTTAAATGAAGTGATCGAAGATGGTGGTTTTAGTGGTGGACTCTTCAGCATCTGCTACAGAAAGTAAAGGAGGTGAGGCACCACCTTCAGTAGAGTGTGCCATAACTCCCTTGAAGGATCCAAAGCCCTTCAGAGCAAGAATCTAGCTAGCATTTTGTTTTTGTGACCCTGATGGAACGTCTGGATTTTCCAGAGCCTAGCCCTTAGGGAATGGGGGAGGAGGAGGAGGGGTGGATAGCCTAATGGATAAGACTGTGTTGTGGCACCTGCTTGATTCTCCTTAGGGTGATTTCCATTTGAAAGCTGTAGTAAAAATACTCATTGTTTGATAACTGTTCGCAGTAATGGCTGATGGGGTGCCTGATAGGATGCGAGAAAGGTTGCAGGAGTTCAATTGTACTGGGCTGAAGAAGCTGTAGGCTTGAAAGGAAAGCAAAAAAAAAAAAAAAGAAAAAAAAGAGAAAGGGCAGAAAAATCCGTTTGGGTTTTTTGTTGTGTTTTGTTTTGGTTGGCTGTTTTTTCCTTCTCTCTATCAGAATCTCCCTATTTGGCTACAAGCTGCTCTGATTAATGCATTTTAATGCCTTTGGACAGACCCTGGGACAGAGGGACACCTGTAAGTTTGTGCAGAATGTGAAAGCGTGTAGAGGCAGCCACGCCTGATAGCGGTGATTAATTTTGCAGGCTGAGGAAACGCTTAAAGAAGTTACTGTTAAAGTAACCCCAGAGTGTGTGTGTGGAGTGTGTCTGTCTTGTTCATGTCCAAAATATCTTTTTGAAGGATTTCACAATTTGCATCTTGTATGCACATAGTGGCTGTCTAGTTAAGTTTTTCTCTTGACTTTATGAGTTGCTTTCTGTTACAAAATGAAGAGTAAAGCTGATATACTCTCAGCTCCTACATTTATTGGCAGCCGTTCCTTGGACTAAGAAACTAAATGTTACATTATTTTACCAGTGTGGTCTACTTATTTCTTCCACAGAAGCATAGGAAAGCCACAATATCACTTAATTTCTAACAGTCTGGATGTTTTTCTCCAACAGGAACTGTTCTTATCAGAAGCAGTAATGGCCAGCTAATGCTAGTATCCCAACAAGCAGTATCACAAGCACAGAGTCAGCCACAAAATAACACAAGTGTGAGACCATCTGTACCGACCAGCACACCTACAATCAGGATATGTGCTGTGCAGGTAACTTCTCTCATAGCTTTATGTTATGTAGTTATAACAGGGTTTTCAAATAAGTTATGGAGGGTTAAATAAGCATTTGAACAGTATGATTGTGTTTAGTTTTGCATATAAACATCACTATGTGCTTTGCTTTCTCAGTCTGAAAAATCTGCTAGCTGTTACATATGGTATAGTTCAATTAAGGAATTCCTCTATGATAATGTAAAAGATGTTCAGAAAAGAAACAAAAATAATCCAGAATAAAGAGCTCACATAAATGGCTATTGCTAGTAACTGCAACCTTGTGATCCTCTGGTAGAATACTTCTCTGAAGTTGAGTGAAGCTGAGGACCTCTCCCATGTCCCCAGGATGTTTGTCTTTCCTTGAGCTCTTCTGGCTTTTTGCTTCCATCTCTTAATGTGGTCAGCATGCAGGAGTTAAGAATGAGTACAAAAAGAGTAACCATCAGCATCGATCCTGCCAACAACCTCATCCTTTAATCGTTTTGTTGTGATTGAACTTTGTGTCTAAATTACTCTGATTCTGTTCTGGAGTATTAAACTGGTAGACAAATAGCTTTGTTGAACAGTGTTTAAAATACATGGGCTTTGTGTCTAAATGACTCTGATTCTGTTCTGGAGTATCAAACTGGTAGACAAATAGTTTTGTTAAACAGTGTTTAAACTACATGGGCAATGTGATTGATGCCTGCATTGTTACTGTAAGAGTGCATGTCTTGGGTTATACTGGACAAGAGCGGGTACAAACTTCAGTGTCTCTTTTGTTATTGACTTGTCTTGACAACTGTTCTCTGCACATGTATAATTTCTTTTTTTTCTCCGAAGAACTCTGGCACCCAGATACTACAGAAAGTTGCAGCTACTCCTGTGAAAACATTATCTCAAACAGCAAATGCTGTAGCTTCTACTGTTCAGCCACCTGCTATAGTACAGGTATGTGGCAAACTTTATGATGTGGTGGAATAAGTGACAGAAAACTGAGGAAAATATGGATACATTCTTGTTGTTTCTAACTGTTTTTTATTAAGCTTGGCAACTTTTGTCCTCACAATAAATTCTTTCCTAAATGTCTTTTTTAAAAATACATAATTTAATTATGCTTCTGCCAGTGTGTGTCAGATCATCTTCTCTCACTACAGCAGAATGCAAATGAATGACGGATAAAATAAATAGCTCAGAGAGCCATTTGGAGTGCCTTTGTACCCTGTGACAGAGTTCCTTCAAGCTCTTGATGAAGCTCTTCTGGGAAATGGAGACTTCCTAATGCTCTCTTCTGTTGGAGTTTCCTGATTCCTTAAGGGGAAAAGGAAGTATACCTGAGATACTGTTGAGGGGAAAATGAACTGTCTGCACCAGTCAAACTGTTTTTCATGTTTTACCTGACTGAGAACTGAAGGAAGGATGTAGCTGAAGACCTCAGTTCACTAATTGAGTTTGGCAGAAAGCTTCCACAGACATGACTGTGTATAGACAGTGGTTGGAAATGCCTCATTATTTTTAGGTAGTGTTTTTGTCTTACTTCCTAGGTCTTATCTTTTTCCAGAGAAAAATGTTGTAGGACTTGTCTGAAGAGTTTCTTGCCACTTGTTGAGTGTAGGCTTCTCCTAGATACACAGTTTATCTTCTATTCTTGGGGACCAGAGTTCTGGATAAGCATGTGTGATGAAAAGAGAAATACTTCTTTCTGCAGCTAAAATATTCTGTTCTCATAATCTGGAGGATAAATTGGGAAGAAGTCTGGCTTGCACATATCTTGTGAACAACAGCTTGACGGAGACTGGGCTGTAGCAGTTGACCAAGCATTCACTGAATGACCAGGATCAGTCATTTAGAAAAATATGCTGGATGTATGTTCTTGACCTTGAGGGTGTTGAAGAGTTGGAGGATATGTTTGCTGACAGCAGTAGCTAAAAGTCTGACTTACAAATTTGTTCTCCTGCTGTTTTTCTGTATCAGTAAATGAAAACTACACACAGGTCTGTCTTTGATATTTTTTTTTCTCTTCCTTCTCACTGCAGATGGATAATGTTTGGGCTGAAGGGAAAAACCCAGTACTTTTTCTTAGAATAGAAACAACATGTGCTTTGTGTCTGAGAACATCATTATTGGGTATTTCTTGTCCACTTTTACTTTGGAATACTAGCTTACAAACCATGGGCTTGTGATTTCTGCATAGAGATCTTTAGGATATAAAAGCAATAGTAATCTACTATTGCTACCCTTGCACTGGGGAGAAGAGATGAAGGTTAAGATTTCTTCCATCTGATAGATGCAGCTGCCTGCATCCTCAAACTCTCATGTGGGTAAACATTGAGATTCGTCATGCTACTAACTATTCCGTTTTAAACTTATATCTGCCTTTGACTTGGTTCTTCTGGACTTTGTTAGTTCAGTTTTTATGTAGTCAATTCAAATTGCGTTTATATGAGATATTTCAAGAGGTAGACATGGAGTATTTTTTATAAACTGTATTTTTTTCAGTTGTAGAAACTTGAACACTTGTATGTAATGAGCCATAGACTTGGGTTTAAACAATATGAATGATGACTAGGAAAAATTAGTACAGTTGTTTTGTTTGGAATGGCTTCCTTGGAGCCTCTCTGTTTTGCGGAGGATTGCACAGCTCTCTGTACAAGCTCCTTGTACAGTAAGGAGTAGCTAGGTGCAGTATAGATACAGCCTGCCATCACAGGCCCACTTAACTCTTCACCCTGAGGTGGACAGGAGAAGAGTGCTGACAAGGCAGTCCGAGCATGGAACCTTCTGGGGAAAGAAAGGAAGAGCCCTTGGGTCTGATTTCCTTGGCAGTGGTTCATTCATCAGTCCTAATAGAACTTGCTGATGTTAGTCTTGAGAATTTTTTGAGGTCACAGGAGAGGAGTGTTGGTGTGGTAGCATGATAGTCATCACAAAAAGTGGAAGATGGTGGAGTGGAAATAATACTTGGCTTGGTTGTGTATCTCCTATCCTGTGGTGAGTACAACTTGAAACACTGCTGGCTGCAAAACTCTGGTTATTGACTCTAGAATTATTCTCCTCATCTACAAAAACATTTCTATTTGTTGCCATTCCTGAATGTTTAAGCTCTGAGGTTAGACAAAATATCTGCACGTTTATTTTTTACCTTCTTCCCAGATGGGGTAATGAAGCTGCAAAGCATCTAATTAGCATCATGCTGGGGCATTTTCATTTAGATGCAGAACACTTCTCTTGAAATTACTTCAAAATATGCAGGATTAATGCCATTTTTTTTGTGGAAACTGTTTCCATTGCTCAAAGTGAGAATGAGAATTGTCAGTAGTGAAAAAGGTTGAGGGCAGGTGACAGAAGTTAATTCCCATATATTCATCTTCTTGGGAAAAGGGTCCAGCAGACTTCCTGTTGTTCCCTCCCTGGGTTGTCGTTCTGGTCTTGATGTGTAAACATGTTGAAATTTGCAAAAGATCAGCTCCCACAAACCTCATGTATTCAGCTTTTAAAAGCCCAGGGCATTGCAGCTTGACAGATCTGTACTCTGTCCCCTTTGGTCTTCCTCCAGTCCATCTGTTTATGGGATTCATGTGCCCAGTTTGCCTCCCTGTGGTCTTAGAGCTGTTGAGCTTCATCTTTGGAAGAGGCAGTAGTGGTGGCAAAGATCCTGCAGAGAGCTATTAAAGTTACCAACAGTGGGAGCCGAAGCTGGGAAGTTTTTCTGGTAGCTGTCTGCTCCTTTCACGTCAAGCTGGCAGCAGCTTATTGGGGGAGGGGGATGACACACACACCCAGGAAAAAAAATAATTTAGAAATAAATTACAAAAGTGGCAGTGCTTTCTTTGCTTTAGCTTTAAATGTTTGTTCATTAATTTTCCCTATCCTGAAAGACTCTAAGACCTAAAAGCTCTTTGACATTTTACATTTTGTCCCTCCAACTGATTAGATTTTGTTTTATCCATGGTAGTGTAAGTTGGACTCTTGTGCTGCTGTCTTATCACTAATGCAATTAGCAAGTGTTAATTTGTGATTATTGGAGTAAACTACAGTGTTTAAGTGTGCTAAGTCAGTGAAAGCAATGGTGTTGCTCAGATCAGAATTTGGCCTACAAAACCAGACTTTCCCTTTTTCTAGGAAGGTTGGAGGAAAAATGACACCCAATTTCAGGTTTCAAATGTTAACCTGAAACTCTTGTTTTTCTGTAAGCTGCGGGTTGGTTCCATCTGGCTTTTTAGTTTTCAAGCTGAAAAATCAGAAGTAGTGGGTTTTGTAAAGGCAGTGTCTTTTACTCATATGGTCTGCTGCTCTATCAGAAGAATTGTGTTGGGGTTTTTGGATGTGTGGGTTTTGTTCCTTTTTTTCTTTTTCCTCACTTCAAACTCTGAAGTAGAAATATTTCAGTTTTTAGTAGGTTTCCTCTGGAAACTACTATTAGCATAGTTTGCAAAGGAGACTGGCAATTGTGTTCTTATTTTTTCCTAAACCTGAATTACTCTCCTGTTGCTGGAGCTTTTTAATCTATTATTAAATTCTAATGAGATTTTTTAAAGATGTATTAAAATAACTGAATTTTGTGAGGGTTTGTGTCTGAGCAGAGGAGAGCAAGATCCAAATTACTGCCCACAGGGAAGGAACTTCCACAGGCAGAAAGAACTTGTTAGGTGCATTTGCTCAGCTGGTTGCTTCGGCTGCCACATGGATCATCCTTCTAAAGTAGACACGATGCCTTTTGCCTATTGTGCATGTGATAGGAAGAGTAAAGGATATTGCAACTTGGAGAGGAGCTACAGAAGAAGAAAGGAAGTTAAATAATCACTTACAGACATTTATTTTCAGAGTAGTATCTCCTGGCTTCGACTGTAGTCCTGGCAAAGTTAATCTGTTGGTTTCTTCAAGACAACTCTACCTTTCTCTTTTCACTTGAAGTTGCAGGCAGTGCTTCAGTCTGGGTGAGCCTTTGTAATTTCTTCCCTCTGCCCTTGATTTAAAACCAGAATTAAGCTGTGGGGGTTCTCTCACTCTATTACCTAGAGCCTCTCAAAATCCAAACTTCAAAGGTAAAAATAATTTATGTTCTAAATAGTAATGTGAAGCGAGGGTGCTACTTTATATACACTAGCAGAATACAGTATGTTTGTCACGTTAATCTTTGGTTAAAAAGTGTTAATTTTCCTTTTCAGCCAACAGCTGCAACAGCTAGTGTTACCACAGTTACTGCTGTAAAGCCTTCGAGTACTGGAACACCTGTAAAACTTCCAGTTACAGGACCACCTGCACAAGCTGTCTCCCAAAAGGCAGTCTCTGTGAAAGCAGAGGGCACAACAGTAGCACCGACCAGCACTTCTACAGTAAGGAAAAAAAAAGGCTTTAATTAAAAATTAGCATTCTGTATATTCATCAGAGGTTGGAGAGCCAATGCCACATCTAATGGTCTTCTCTTTATTTTCATGCTAGGAGATGTTAGAGAATGTGAAGAAATGCAAGAATTTTCTTGCTACACTAATAAAATTGGCATCTAGTGGACCTCAAGCTTCTGAGATGGGGCAGAATGTGAAGAATCTTGTGCAAAATTTATTGGTGAGACTTTTTTTAAACATTCTGCATGATTTGGATATAATTTTTTACATTGACTTCTTCATAGTTTTTGTTTCTGATCTTTTTAACTGTTATTTTTTTAACAGCTGAGGAGTTGAATTTGTGGCCGAGTATATCTGACCTTCATTAAGCTTACATTATAGCTCTTATTTTTAACTACATCCCATGCTGTATTTTTTCCCTCTCACATTCCTGTTTCATTTTATGCACACAGGTAATTGACAGCAGGAGGAACTGATAGTGTCTGGCTCTGAGCTGCCTGTTTTTTTGGTTTTTTTTCATATTAGTCTTATTTTGAGTAATCAATGACAAGAATTATTATCATGGAGGTTGCAGTGCCAGTGCTGAGTCCATACTACTGCTTTACTCCAAGGCAGAACTGACATACAGGTTGATAGTGAAGCTCCAGTGGAACAAGCATGATGTGATCTATGTCTTTAGACAATGGGGTGGAGAAAATAATGTGGCTGCCAACCTGTCTCTCTCCTTGCGGGTGGCTTCCATATGCTGCTTTGTGCTGTACCCCAGCACAGCTGGGTTTTCTTGGTAACAATTTCTCCTGCCACTTCTTGTCTTGGCATTTGACCACTGCTGCTGTTCTGTTGTTCCACTGTAGCAGAAGGCTGTGGGATGGTGGAAGGGAATGACTTTACTAGTGGTACCAAAGGACTTTTCAGTCTAGAAAAGAGTAGTGTAGATGAAGGTGTAGTTTTAGAGAGCAGACTGTTTTAAGCAGCCTTGTAAAACTACTTGATTACTCCTCTTCCTCTGCCTTTGTGTCCCTCATGGACTATACACCTTGATTCTGTAGGAAAATACTAGAATTATTCCTTCTTGTTCTTAGAGTACTTTAATTACTTTTTTCCTAAGAACAGTTGTTACCAAACATTAATATATCATTTCACTGTGCATTTATTTGCTTTATCTAATATCTAAAAAATACTGCTATTCTGTCATTCAGGATGTGTATATGATTTAATGCAAAATAAATTGTTTTGCATGCATGAGGGAAATTAATACATTGACAGCTGTGAATTAAAATGGTCCTTAAAGCAGCATCTTATGAAGTGGGTGTCAAGCACCTTACATGCACTGAAGCATAGTCCACCAAATCACTGCATCTGTATTGGTAAGACCTCAGGGACCTGTATAACAGCTCAGTGAGATCTAACAGGGAGCAGATCAAATGACTAAACTGGAGAGGTGCTCCAAGTTCTGTTTGTCTGTGAATATACAATCCTTAAAACCCCTTTGCTGTTGGTGTAGCTCCTTGGAATGGTTGTTCTGAAGGAGAGTATGCATGAAAGGAGTAGTTTCTCTGCAAAGATGAGGCCTGATGCTGATACCGGAGGAGGTAACATTCTTGGTGACTCTGTGGCAGGATCTCACCCACAACTGTATCCCTGTCCTCACAGCACTGAAATAGTGAGTGAGGGATCTCAGAAGTCCATTGCAGGTTCCTAACCTTACCGAGCCCCTGTGTCTGGTGTTTGTGTTGGGGAAGAGCAGAAAGCATTATGAAAGGAGACTGTACTCTGCGTGCCAGAGGACTGTTACGGTAGTGGTATGCAGAAGTGATGTTCTGATCTTCAGTTTCTCCTGCTTTTGAAAGACAGTGTTAAGTATTCTTTATTATGCTATGCATGTATTACACTAGAATTGTCTTTAAAAAGTACTGAGTTGTCTTTTGTCTCCAGTCTCTTCAAATTGATTGTTATGCACATAAACTAACTTCACAGAAAACAAAATGCTTGTGTACTGGGCAAGAAGGCAAGTGTAATCTGGGGTGGCATAAGGAAGAGTGTGGCCAGTAGGTTGAGAGAGGTCATTCTCCCACTGGTGAGGCCACAGCTGGAATACTGCATCCAGTTCTGGGCTCCCCAGTTCAAGAGAGAGCGGGAACTACTAGAGAGAGTCCACTGGATGGCAACAAAGATGATTGGGGGATTGGAGCAGCTCCCTTATGAGGAAAGGCTGAGAGAGCTGGGGCTCTTCAGCCTGGAGAAGAGAAGGCTGAGAGGAGACCTTGTTAATGCCCGTAAGTATCTCAAGGGGGAGTGCAAGGAGGATGGAGCCAGATTCTTTTCAGTGGTTCCCAATGACAGGATGAGGGGCCATGGACACAAGCTGGAACAGAGGAAGTTCCATCTAAATATGAGAAAAAACTTCTTTATGGTGAGGGTGACAAAGCACTGGAACAGACTCCCCATGCAGGATGTGGAGTCCCCTTCACTGGAGACACTCAAAACTTGCCTGGATGCAGCCCTGAGTGATGTGCTCTAGGGAATCCTGTTTTGGCAGGGCGGTTGGACTAGATCATCTCTAGAGGGCCTATACAATCCTTAAAACCCCTTTGCTGTTGGTGTAGCTCCTTGGAATGGTTGTTCTGAAGGAGAGTATGCATGAAAGGAGTAGTTTCTCTGCAAAGATGAGGCCTGATGCTGATACCGGAGGAGGTAACATTCTTGGTGACTCTGTGGCAGGATCTCACCCACAACTGTATCCCTGTCCTCACAGCACTGAAATAGTGAGTGAGGGATCTCAGAAGTCCATTGCAGGTTCCTAACCTTACCGAGCCCCTGTGTCTGGTGTTTGTGTTGGGGAAGAGCAGAAAGCATTATGAAAGGAGACTGTACTCTGCGTGCCAGAGGACTGTTACGGTAGTGGTATGCAGAAGTGATGTTCTGATCTTCAGTTTCTCCTGCTTTTGAAAGACAGTGTTAAGTATTCTTTATTATGCTATGCATGTATTACACTAGAATTGTCTTTAAAAAGTACTGAGTTGTCTTTTGTCTCCAGTCTCTTCAAATTGATTGTTATGCACATAAACTAACTTCACAGAAAACAAAATGCTTGTGTACTGGGCAAGAAGGCAAGTGTAATCTGGGGTGGCATAAGGAAGAGTGTGGCCAGTAGGTTGAGAGAGGTCATTCTCCCACTGGTGAGGCCACAGCTGGAATACTGCATCCAGTTCTGGGCTCCCCAGTTCAAGAGAGAGCGGGAACTACTAGAGAGAGTCCACTGGATGGCAACAAAGATGATTGGGGGATTGGAGCAGCTCCCTTATGAGGAAAGGCTGAGAGAGCTGGGGCTCTTCAGCCTGGAGAAGAGAAGGCTGAGAGGAGACCTTGTTAATGCCCGTAAGTATCTCAAGGGGGAGTGCAAGGAGGATGGAGCCAGATTCTTTTCAGTGGTTCCCAATGACAGGATGAGGGGCCATGGACACAAGCTGGAACAGAGGAAGTTCCATCTAAATATGAGAAAAAACTTCTTTATGGTGAGGGTGACAAAGCACTGGAACAGACTCCCCATGCAGGATGTGGAGTCCCCTTCACTGGAGACACTCAAAACTTGCCTGGATGCAGCCCTGAGTGATGTGCTCTAGGGAATCCTGTTTTGGCAGGGCGGTTGGACTAGATCATCTCTAGAGGGCCCTTCCAACTCTGACAATTCTGTGAGTCTGTGGTGAAGTTTAAATGTTTCTATGTAATGATAAGGTGCTCCTTGCTACTCAGTGCTACTTTTAAACTAGTTTCTGTCAGTTCACTTGAGTGAGGTGTTTGAAGTATCCTTAAGTGTGTTATCAGCCTGGAGTAAAGGAAGTAATGTAATTTGATAATACTGTATCTAAATTTCAAGATAATTCTGTCCTAAACGCTTTTCTTTAAAAATATAAGAGGAAAAAACATTTGATAATTGACATTGAACAATTCCCCAATAATGTAAATTTCTATGGATTTTTGATAGACTGGGTGGAAAAAAATGTAGATTCATAGTTATAACTTACTATTGTAATTGTACTTTCCTCTTAGGAAGCAAAAATTGAACCAGAAGAATTTACAAAAAAGCTATACATAGAGCTCAAGTCATCTCCACAACCGTATTTAGTTCCTTTTCTCAAGGTAAGTGTCTGTGAATATGTAGTACTTACTGAGGGGATGGAGGAAAACCAGAAGAGGAAAGTCAGAGCATTGAAATAGGTGTTGGCTTAGGTCAGTTGAGGAAATTGTGTTTCACCCATCCTTGTTGCTCTTGGAAAGAGGTTTTTTTTCGGGAAGGGAAGATTTTAGCGGAGTCTTCTTAAATTGAAGAGTTAATTACCTGCTGGTCATTAGTGGCGACTAATGTTTTGGAAGCTGGTGCATCTACAGCAGAGCTGCTATACTAAGATAACCTTTTACTTTCTCATCAAAACTGTAACTGTAATAAAGTCAAATGCAGAAGACTGACAACAGGCTGTGCACAAAGCTTAAGCTTTAAGAATTGCATAAATCTAGTATTCATCTATCTTCTGGTTGATGTTTGCCTGGAAGCAGAAGAAAAACCCCATCCTTTTCTTTAGAAAGTCCTGATAGGACTACTACAACTTGGGAGGAGTAAACCAGGATAAATCTACTGCCATTCAAGCAAATAATGATGTAAATAAAAAGCATGCAGTATTAACTTTTAAAAATCATATGGGATAATGGAATTTATGAACAGTCAAAATAAAAATTAACATCTCTGTTGTAGAGCATGTATTGCATTCCAGTGAAAGCATGGAATACTTGGTTATATTTAGTTGCAATGCATGTAGTATTCTTAAGCTTAATAGATCTGTACTTTTCCTTGTCATTTACTATAGACACTTGAGAATCAAGGAAGGAATTGTTAAGTCTAAAGGTGGGACAGAAATTTTCTGGAGTTTTTCTTCCCCCAGTATTTGATAGCATATATAACAATGCATGTGATGATGATGATATTGCTTTAGATGGCTGATGTCAATTTCTTAAAGTGTGTGATGGATTTTTTTGTTACAGTGGCAGCCTAATCCTGGAGATTTCTTAAAAGCACATGCAAAAGCTAAAGGGGAAAAAAAAAACCCCAAACATCTCAGAGCTCAGTAGCTGCCTTCTGCAGGGCTGATGGACCCCACTTGACATGAGCTGGCTGTGTGTGTGGGGGGGAGGGGGGCGCAGCTCATGTGCTCCCGTGGTGGTGCCATGTTCCCAAAGTGTGCTGCAGGTGAACCTCTAGGTCCATGCAGACCCAGGCTAAGTCTGGCACGGCTAGACCCCATCTAGGGCTGGTCAGTTGTGACAGCCTGCAACTAGTTCATGCACAGGAACTGAGCCAAGAGGTGTCTGTGCAGCACTTGTTAGCACTTCTACCCCTTTGGGTTCCCCCAAGAGTTATGTTATCTCAGGCAGTGTTGTCCTTATGCACTCATGGAGGTGCTCAGCCTGAGTTAAGATGCCATCCCACGGTCTGTAGAACTCTGCTACATGTGGTTCACAGACTTGAGGAAGTTCCACAGAAGTTGGGTTCATCAGCATAGGTCAGATCTTGATCCCTCACAGCAGAGTGGTTGAATGTTTCCCCTGGAGGATGCTGCCAGGTTCCGGTGTCATTGAGGATTTTCTGTTTTGGGTAGTGTCCATACCCCATACTCCTCAACAAGGTGCTTTCTCTCCCTTTGCTCCTCCATATTAACAATTAAATACTTTCACTTCAGAAACTTCGACCATGACAATGACTAAACATTAGCTGACTATATTGTTACCATCCTTTAAAACATCTTGCACCCCAATTACTTTTTTTTCTGAAATATCTTAAGGATGTGTACTTGATACAGACCAGACTTAACTGGTGTGTAATTTTGAGCAGCTGTGACAGGAATGAGTGCCAAATGGAAGGTGACTTCAGGAGCACTTCTCTAAGGTGCTACAAGCATCAGTGCTGGCCTTGTCTGTGGGAGAAACGCTTGCAGCTTGAGTGTGAGAAGAAATGTGATACGGCTTCTTGCCAGTTGACTTTCAGCTAGTGAGTGGAATTTTAGGGAGGACTCTGTGGAGTTGTCTCTTATCTTTGAGCTGCAGGTTTTCGAGGAAGTTGCATGTGCTTTGTTTTGTCTGTTCCAATAGATGGGAAAGTATGCTGACTTTGGCTGTAAAGCCTGCTTGGTTTTCAGATCTGTGCTGGATGCTTTTGGTAAATAAACTGCATCAGGAGCATGAGGAAAGCTGTGAGGAGCCTTTTAAAAGAAAGGAAGTGAACATCAGGTGTGTCACAGAAGGTCTAGATGTCTGAACAATTTGCTGACTTAGTATATTAACATGTGAGACAACATGTTCCTTTTGCATGAAGCCCAGAAGAATAGCACTGTGCTGGAGACTTAGGGACTTCAAAAACTGCTACTGAGGGGAAAAAAAGGATTTGTGCAGAACAGATTTCCCCTGATTCTGTACCATAACAGATTGTAAATAGTCAAGGAGAAAAATCTGTAGAGGGCTTGAAGATTATTTTGTCCATTAACCTTCTCAAACATAGCTGGAGTAAAAATGAGATGTTGCCAGATGTCTTTACTAATGTTCTTTCTTTGCTGAGAACTCTCTGGCTTAAGTTGTGCTGCTGCAGCTATGCAGGCATTACTAAAGTGGTATCCCCCCCTAGTGTCGATACAGCTGTATTGGCATGGAAGCGTTCGTATCTCCAAAGCTTGTTTCAGAGTTTATTGGGTAATTGCTAGTTCACTGTCAAGGCAGGCTCCATGGAATAAACACAGCTGTTAAGACGTAGGGGCTTTTGGCAAAACAATTTCTTTTGAGGTAGTACAACAGAAAAAATGGTCTTTTTCTAGAACAGAAATTTCTAATTGAAAAATCTAAACAAAAGAACAAAGTTATGGGTGAATTCCCCTGTATAATTGAGATTCGCTGTGTGCAGTGAAGCAGTGGTGAGTGTTGGTCTTTGATCAGCCTGTGTTGGTGATTCTTGTGGTCTTCACTGAACTGTACCATCAGCAATTTAAGGGTGCCTGAACTCCAGCAAAACTTGTTTGGAATAAGCCAGTTATTGTTTAATAAAAACCTAAATTGGAAGATGAGGAAGAAGATTCAGTTGCTGGTATACCAGTAGTGTGCAAGACTCTGCTGATGTTAAGTCCAGTGTTGCTTTGTTTTTCTTCTAGAAAAGCTTACTTGCCTTACGACAGCTAATGCCCAATGCTCAGAGCTTTATCCAGCAGTGTATCCAGCAGCCAGCTCCAACCCAAGATGCCGTTTCTACTTCTACCTCTGCAGCACCAGCTTCTTCGATAGCAGTGGCAACCTCAGCTGTAGCAACAACCTCTCTTCCAGTTATAAAACCAGTGTCTGACACTGTAACAGTCCCAGCCTCTCCAGTTATAAAGCCAGTCCTTGTCAGTACGTCGGCAACAGGTTCTCTGCACACTGTGAAGCCTGTTCCTGCCTCCACAGTGGTCACAGCATCTCTTCGCCCTGCAGCTTCAGTCCTCACCACGACGATAGCCACATCAGGGCTGACTGCTATCCAAACTGTCAGGCCAGCCTTCACTTCTGCGGTAGCAGCGTCCTCTCTCCAGTCCGCAAAGCCACTACTAGTCTCTCCAGTGGCATCTCCAGCAACAACCCCTCTCCAGCCTCTGAAATCAGCCATTGGAGCCCCATTCGGTTTCAAAATCTCGCAGCCAAAATCCGTCGTTGCACAGTCAGTAGGCGCTCAGCAGGTGGTTAAAGTGAAACAGTTGGTAAGATGAATTTCTTTGCTTTTCTGTAATCCAGCTTCTTTATTGTGACTCCTAAGCATTTTTTAGATAGGATACCAATTTGGATCTTTGCCTTTTTTTTTTTTTTTCTTCACATGTGAAGCTAGTCTCACATGAATTAACCAGAAGGTAGTCTGTTTTAAGTTAATCAGTTATGTTTGTTATAAGGATATTCAACTTGCTGAAAAGTTGAATCTAAAGCCAAGGTGTAAGCTCAGTCTCTTGCAAAACATACTGACCACCATTCCACCAGACTTAGCATCCAGCTTGAAACACAAGGGAACACAAGTTCTGGGCTATGCATGCAGCCAGGCTGGGTTGGCATCTGAAAGAGAAGGCAGGAAATGCTAGTGTCAGGAACAGAAATTGCTGATGAACTGCTTACATTAGTTCATGTTAGATAGCCTGTTAGGGCTGTGCCTCAGCTAGCCACCAGGGATGCCAGGCTTTTTACCTTGATAGTTCCTGCCCTGGATACTTTGCAGGCACAGGTGGCTTGATGATGTTTAGTGATAACTGAAATGTACAAACTAGCTCAAGGAGCTTTTCAGGGTGGAGTTCTGACCTCCAAATTTACTAAGACATGTTAATTGTGAAGTCATCCAAAAGTGAGCTTTTCTATCAGGCCTCATTACCTAACAAATTCCAGGAGAAGTAAAAGTCTTATTAAAATTATACCCTCAAAAATAATGTATTGTTTTGGTTTTCTTCTTGGCACAGATTAACTTCTTGCTAATGTTAATGTTAAATACTAACAAAACTGTGTCCCACAGGTATACTCAAAAAGAGCAATGTTGTGAAATACATTAGTTTTGGTTTATGGGTGTTTGAGATACCAAGTAGCATGTTGTCTGACTGGTCTACCTGCAAATAATGTTCTCAAGTATTTTGAAAGAATAGTCACCCTTTGGCAAATAAAGAACTTGATTCTTGAATTTGGCTTACTAGTTGAGATTTGCTGCTTAAAAAGACGAGAAAACATTAGACTTCCTATGAAGACAGATAAACTTTCCACAGGTATAGTGGAAATGTGGTAGATGTGGTTTATCTTGATTTCAGTAAAGCATTTTCAGTAAAGCATTTGACACTGTCTCCCACAGCATCCTTGTAGAAAAGTTGATCAGGTATGGGTTTGGTGATCAGGAAGTGAGGTGGATTAGGAACTGGTTGAAAGGAAGGAGTCAGAGAGTCAATGGGGCAGAATCTGGTTGGAGGTGTGTGACTAGTGGAGTCCCACAGGGGTCGGTACTGGGACCGATGTTGTTCAACATCTTCATCAACGACCTGGATGAGGGTATAGAATGTACCCTCAGCAAGTTTGCTGATGACACTAAGCTGGGAGGAGTGGCTGACACACCAGAAGGCTGTGCTGCCATTCAGAGAGACTTAGATAGGTTGGAGAGTTGGGCGGGGAGAAACATGATGAAATTCAACAAGGGGAAGTGCAGAGTTTTACATTTGGGGAAGAACAACACCATGTCCCAGTACAGGTTGGGGGCTGAACTGCTGGAGAGTAGTGTAGGTGAAAGAGACCTGGGGGTCCTGGTAGACAGGAGGATGACCATGAGCCAGCAATGTGCCCTTGTGGCCAAGAAGGCCAATGGCATCCTGGGGTGCATTAGAAAGGGTGTGGTTAGTAGGTCAAGAGAGGTTCTCCTCCCCCTCTATTCTGCATTGGTGAGGCCACATCTGGAGTATTGTGTCCAGTTCTGGGCCCCTCAGTTCAAAAAGGACAGGGAACTGCTCGAAAGAGTCCAGCGCAGAGCTACGAAGATGATTAGGGGAGTGGAACATCTCCCTTATGAGGAAAGGCTGAGGGAGCTGGGTCTCTTTAGCTTGGAGAAAAGGAGACTGAGGGGTGACCTCATCAATGTTTACAAATATGTAAGGGGTGAGTGTCAGGGGGACGGAGTTAGGCTTTTCTCAGTGATGACCAGTGATAGGACAAGGGGTAATGGGTGTAAATTGGAGCATAGGAAGTTCAAGGTGAATATCCGAAAAAATTTTTTTACTGTAAGAGTGACAGAGCACTGGAACAGACTGCCCAGGGAGGTTGTGGAGTCTCCCTCACTGGAGACATTCAAAACCCACCTGGATGAGTTCCTGTGTGATGTACTCTAGGTGACCCTGCTCTGGCAGGGGGGTTGGACTAGATGATCTCTCGAGGTCCCTTCCAGCCCCTAAGATTCTATGATTCTATGATTCTATGATTCTATAAGTTATACATTTGGTCTAATGTTGGAAACAAAGACCAAGGCATGTTGCTATCAGTGGACTGATAGATTTGGAAGAGAAACAGAGAAGGTAATCTGGGGGAACACTGGAGGTGAAAACTTTTTGTAGATGGCAACATTTATCTGTCACCATTAACTGACTTCTGTTCAGGAGAGTGACTTAGTATCTACTTTTTTGCTTTATGGGTGATTTATCTGTATCTAATGTTCAAGAGGCTGTAGATGAGCCCAGCAGTATAAACTTAAAAGTTATAAGTCATACTAGTTTTCTACTTTGACTTCTGATTTTGAGATGTGAATCTTACAAGTTAAGAAGTATCAATTATGAGGAAAGAGGGATTTAAGCTAGGCCAACAGTTAATGGACTGGGGATTAAGTGTGGGTTTATTAAGGATTACTAGAACTATGAAGTTCGTAGAGTCCTTATTGAGCAATCATCTTTGGTTTTCTGCTTTCTGAAATGTTTCGGTAATATTTGGTGTAGATGCTATCTGGTTTCAGTGAGCTATGGTAACCTAGATTTTTCTTTTCTACAGGTTGTACCTTACAATACCTTGAATTAGTGTAGTAAATATGCTTATTTGGCAAAAGATATCATATATACGACACTTCTGTCTAATATATAAGTCCTTTTTAAACGCTAACATTTGTTTTGCTCTGTGCCTTAACATCATTCTAGCACTAATATTTTTTTACTGTGAGAGTGACAGAGCACTGGAACAGGCTGCCCAGGGAGGTTGTGGAGTCTCCTTCACTAGAGACATTCAAAACCCACCTGGATGCTTTCCTGTGTGATGTGCTCTGGGTGATCCTGCTCTGGCAGGGGGGGTTGGACTAGATGATCTTTCGAGGTCCCTTCCAACCCCTAGGATTCTATGATTCTATGAAAACATTAGACTTCCTATGAAGATAGATTAACTTTCCACAGGTATAGTGGGCCATCTAATGCAGGAATTTCCTTTGTAGTTTCTATATTGTGTATACTTGATTTAACAGTATTCAAAACCCTTAAATGTTTTGCTTTATTAATTTTCTTGATTTCAAAGTGCTTAAGGTGGATGTAATACAAGAATCCTGCATTCTAAATAAAGAGCTAAAGCTACTAGCTTTTCACTTTTTCAGATTTGCTTAAAAAGAATAAAGCACTAAACTATATGGAGGGGATGGAGGGTCCTTTTTATGAGTGGGTTTGGTTTAAAAGCAGTTGTCAAGCATATGCACCAACAGTGTTTGATAGTAGTAGCTAAAGCCAAATTGGAAAAGGAGTTGATACCGTTGCTGTCTTTAAGGACAGTAAATTTAAAATTCCATCCAGAAGAAAATGAGGGCTTCTTAGGTTGTACAAGGGCTGTGGAGCATTTTGTTGGCTACACAGCAAGCTATGTAATCCAGGGGAAAGGTTGACCATCTGTACAAAGAGATGAGGAAGATTAATTCTACACTGGGGAGTTGAAACACTTCTTGAACATGATATTTGTGAACTCAAGAAGTGACTCATGCCTCCTCTGCTACTGCTATGTGCCAGCCTATTGCAATTGCTTTTCTTCGCTGTGCCTTACAAACTTTGAATTGCATACAAAACATGTTTTTATCCCCATTTGGGTAGATCCCAGGTAAAGTGATTAAAGTATTTGCTCTTCAAAATGCCTGTTTAATTTTGGTCTTGTAGTTGAAGAGCTGAGTTGACCACTTTGCAGCTTAGCCATATCAAGACCTTGGTGTTTATTCAGACAACCTAGTAGCACAAAGAGCCAGTTAGTAAAAGCAGCTGCATCTTCTAGAGCTTCCCTGGTGCATTTCCTTGAAAGGACAAGAGGTTCTGTTTTCCTCCCACAAGAAAACAAATCTGGACCTCCCCTCCCTAAACAGAAGGGTCCTGCTGCCAGCTGAAAAGGAGCACATGCCAGCTGTGCAAATCTGTCCATACAATGCTGCCAGCAATTTCCTTTCCAGCCCACAGGGTTGTCTGATGCTATACACTCCCTGTGCATGCCCATTTCTATTTAGGTCTCTTGTGCTGGGGAATGTAAAGTGAGCTTTTATGTGCCAGCTCTGGTGTAACGTTGATGCTGTGTTTTAATATCAAAATTGCTACTAGAGCGGTGCAATGTGTAACTGTCTTTTCTGTGGCATGATTATTGAAACTCAATTTGTATGGTGGACACCAAAGGACCTGTTCTTCAGGGATGCTGTTGGGATTGATTGCATGCCTGTGCTGTGGGAGTTGCATGTCAGGGAGGGTTTTCCCTTCCAGTGACTTTCTTAACTCAGTCTGATTTAAGAGCATTGGCATACACAGAAGTTTCATCTTGGACAGAAAGCTTGTCTTGCTGTAGAATTTCTTTGTCTCTTGTTAAAGCACAAATAAATGAAAATTTACGTTACCAGCCACTGGCTTCCAGTGGTGAGAAAGCTGCTGTGAGACTACAACTTCAAGTTAAGCATAAAGAACAAGAGTTTTATGGTTTAGTCCCTGCAATTACCAGTGAAATGTGCTCCCTGGACATTGCTAGTGGTTGAAGCAAAGAGTGAAGTGATTGTGCTGTTCCAAATGCTTGTTTTTAGTGTCGAGTCCCCTCAGAGCTGAGCTTTCTTGAGCAGATGATCTCCTCTGTTATTTTTCAATATTTTTTTTTTTGTCCCGGATGTATGCTTTTGCATTCAGCTGCTGAGGCTTCCTTCATGAAGCAATACTGTATGAAGTGTGTGATGACACCTTGCCATCTCTCCACTGATCTCCAAACTCTGCTTTATGAATGCAAAACCCATTCAAGGAAGGCTAATCAAAGTCACTTTCAGGCAGCTGTCCCTGTGCTGTCAGCTGGATGTTACATTGCATTTCTTTTTTTTTCTTAAAGAGTGTTCGTGCTTTTTGCTCTGATGTTTCCTACTTAATGGGGCAGAAAGGAACAGTCCCTTTTCATTATTACTTCTTGCTCCTTACTTGAAGAAAGGAGGCAACAGCTCTTTCTTACAGATATTAGCTATTTTTTAATATGGTTTTCTGGCATTAAATCCTTGTCAAAATTTCTGGGATTTCCCTGTTCTTTCTTGTTTCCCTGTTCTGTTGCATGTCTCAGGGACTTTCAACATTTGTTAGTTTAGCAACTAGAATACCAAACAAAAAATCAGCTTTACTGCCTACACATCCTTTCTGTTTCTTGTTGATCAAGACTCCTCAGTTACTTGTCTTACCTCCCAGTCTCCGCCTAGGCTATTGGTTTAACACTGGCTATCTCTGTTCCTTTTGTGTGCTGCACCTTCATCTTGAATGCTTATGTTTCCTCCTGTGCTGTTTCAGGATGTTGCATGCTGAAGATGAAGCGTCATTCTTAGTGGTGATGGTGAGGATCTCTAGATGTATGTCAGTTTGGGTGGTGACAGAGCCTGTAAATAGTTTATCCAAGCTGGTTGATGATTCAATAATTATCTGAACATATAAATGGTGCTGGTAATATGAATTTCAACTTCCAGCCAATGGAAGCTGCATCTTTCAGAAAGATCAAACTGTGTTTTCATAAAAACACATAGAGGCACACCTTAGTGTGTGTACCAGTGCTGCAGGTGTGAGCCTTGACTGTCTGCAGTCCATCCCTGTGCTCCTGTGGTTCCTTCCTCTGCATAAAAAGTCAGGAGATATGGATCATACGTTTATTCTCAAGAACTACGTTGTTTGATTTTCAAACATCACCTTCAGCTCAGCTGTTCTGTTCTGTGTTCCTGCTGCTGTGCCAAACCATGTTGCTTATTAGCAGATTAGCATGGAGGTGGGTGCGGTGTGTCTTGATTACTTGATATGCAAAGTACATCTTTTTGCGAGTGTCTGATACTTACGCTGATGATGTTTACTGATAAATCTGAAGTTAGATGACAGAAGGAGACAGACTAATTTCTGAAGTATAATTAATGCCAATTTTTTATTTAATTAAACTTGTCCAGTGTTGCTGTACGAACA